AGCCGAGTGGTGGACAGAAATTTCTAATGAAGATGCTGGAAACAAGTGACGCATATGACCCCAAAAGTCACGCATGGATTTTGTCGTGCCCCACCCCCAGGACTCACGAATATCAACCTTCATACGAAGGGCATGCGTGAAGTTAAGTGTGGTTCTCACTGCGCGAAACAAGTTTCTCTCTGATGTTGAAAGAAACGTCCAGTTATCAGCATAAGTAAATGGGTAACACGAGCTTGTGCCATATGATGGAAAAAGGCTGCTGCAATAACTAGCAGCTAGCATGGCACACACTGAGAGGGAGTCACCCTCAGGGGCACCTGTAGTAGATGGATAGGAATGACTAAATCCCTGTCGAGTCTGGAGCATGCGTTGCATCTCATTTAGGGAACGGATCCAGAATCCTATTGCATTGTCTGGCGCCCCAAAGTGGATAAGAAGCTGACGAGCAATTTGGCGGGGAATCAGATTAAATGCTTTGGTCAAATCTAGTGTGAATCCACCGTAGGGAGTGTTAGAAGTATGGGCCTTCTCTAAGATATACTGTTGTTGTATCGTGATGTCCTTCACTGCACGGAAGGGAAGGCCACCAGCAATTTGTGGATCCCAGGATTTTCCCCATTCCCGCAATAATTGATCAGCCACGAGTTTGGATGTAAGGCGTGGAATATATCCTAATATCGTTATCGGTCGACCATCAGAGAACGTCTCTGGGTTTGGAGTCTTTGCAAGGAGAATTACTCTGGCCAGCATCTGTGTAGCTGTCAAGTTAGTTGGCCAAATTACATGGAAGATTGATGCAAGGTCTTCGATGGCTCTAAAGGGAAGCCTTTGAAGCTCTTGTGCTCGCCAGCCATCCAAACCAGGAGCTTTAAATGGTTTCATTCGTTGTATGGTTGCACGACTTCAAACCACCAAAGCCACGAGGATTCCCCTGCGCATGCCACCCAACGAGAGTGCAGTCAAGGAAAGCACCCGTGTGCAGTCGAAATGCACTTCGAAGATCTCGAGGCATGAATGCGCCGTATATAGCAGCAAATTGGCTTTGCACGCCGGTGAGCACCCTCGATCAACACCCAGCCTTAACACCTACAGTTCAAACCTTCCTAATATGAATGATGTGAGGCCCTCTGTGTCCTTGTATGTAGTAGCTTCCTGTTTACTATGTACCAAAGCTATCCAAATCTAACTCCTACCCCTCCGTACAGCATCAACAGAAAAAAAACAACAAGCTATATAAGCTTCCTTCGTTTTGTATGTCCAAATCCCACATGGTGGTTATTGTTTTGATGCCGTGGCTCGGCAGGACACATTGTTCATCTTCATCACCTTCACCAAGCGATGCACATAGCAAGCCTGAGCGCTGGGTAGCAAGAAGTCTATACATCTTTAGACGGCTCATTTTTATCCCAGTCTAGTCAAACGCATTCCCACTCACTGGTGGACATCAAAATGAGAAGGTCCTGGTAGCATCTGAGCCACTCTAAAAACCTGGAGTCACTCCCTATGTCGTATCACTTTCCTTGCGCGAGGCCTTACGCGCTGCTTACGCGGCCCTCACTTTTGCTTACGCAGAGCAAACTTCCGAAATGCTTACGCGAAATGCTTACGCAATCTTACGCAACCCAGGGTATTGCTTACGCGGAATTCGATATGACAAGGTCCTTACTTAAGATGTAAAGGCAGGTTTTTAGAGCGGCTCATCTGGGAACCTTGTTTCGCTCACCTTCAGCTTGCAAGATCTGGAAAGCAAAACTGAAGGATGTCGTTCCAACATGTTCCAACAACTAACCCGCAATGTTCGTATTCGGCACTTCACAAGCGCACCATGTTCCTGGGCACCAAGATCTGAAAGACCATTGCTAGGGCTTTTGGCTTTAAAGGCAACAAGGAAAGACCCCCTGCGGCTGGCTTTAGGGCAAGAAGCTTTGAGGCAAGTGCCGGACCCGATGCAGATTCTTTAAAAGCACTGACCCCAAAGAAGCCTCAGTAAGATGCCTCAGGGCCCGTTTCACCTCAGTTCAGCGACCATGCCACGCCGGACTTGAATCTGAAGGCCTGAAACACCCCCCTAGTAGCGTCCTTGCTCCTAGTAGCGATGCCAGGAGCCCCTAGTAGCTTCTTGTTCCTAGTAGTAAGGCCAGGAGCCCCTAGTAGCGTCCTTGCTCTCCCCCTTACCTCAGCTTTGCCTCCCTTGACCAACCCCAAAACGGTTCACCAATCAGCCGATCTCGCAGAATTGAATATATTATTTCCAAGCGGCTAAGCGGACCAATGAGTGGAAAGCAGCTAAATCAAAGTCAACGTCAGCATTCCACATGCCGCTTTTCAACTTCATAGGCACCTCAGGGTGAAACTTTAGGCTTACTCGCTCCAAAATAACAATGGCTGTTGCAACCCGTTGGCCTTTCTGCCACCTACACGGCTTCTGCACAAAGCATACTTTGAACATTGTCATTCTATTGGCCTCTTTGCAAAAAAGAATGTCTCAAGAATCCTCCATGCATCCACCCACTGATAACTAGGAGCAAGGACGCAACTAGGGGCTCCTGGCATCGCTACTAGGAGCAAGGACACTACTAGGGGCTCCTGGCCTTACTACTAGGAGCAAGGACGCTATGTCTTGAATGATATACCCCTTATATCAACATGTTGAACCGTTTTGTTCAATTTGTCGGTTGAGGTCGGTTCTTGGGCTCGTCAAACACGCTCTCACCATGCTTGTGCCTATGATGAAGCCTTGGGGCGCAGTCTTTATTATGCACTTTTTGGGCCTTTGATGGTCTTTGGATCTTTGTCAGGCATACCTCTCTTACAAAAACCTTCTGCGAACCTTTGCAACCTCTGAAAGGTCTGGGGCATCTGCCAAGTGATTGCTGAGGACCAAGTATAGGCTGTTCGTGCTAGCATGTTTGCCAAGGCCTTCCCGAGTTGCTGGATAACAGCCTTCGATTCATTGATCGATTACAGGGCGGATCTTCGATCCCTTCAATCTTCAATACACGTTCTTCAGTCTTTGCACGCCTTTGGCCCAAAGCACTGTGGAGTGTTGCCGCTCCTTTTTATTCAGGCAACTCTAGATGTTTACATATTCTTGACGTTGCCCAAACAACACAGTGAAAGCCTTTGTGGGGATGGTGTTGAAGTGCGTTTGCGGCTCCCCAGTTCTGGTGGACGGCTTTTTCTGGTCGCCATACTGTCTCTTTCGGCTTTGGGGCTATGAGAGCAAGCAGTCAGGAACCCTCGTTAAAGGCTGCCAGGCAGCTAATGACATGACCCGCGAGAGAAGCAACATGGACTTGGTGTTGCTGTCCACTGGCGGCTGCGGATACTTCACCTGAAAGGGAGTAAGGAAGGCCAAATTGGGTACCCGGCCTTCTTGCAGAATACTCTGACACATATTATTGAGTACTGCATCACCACCTCCTGCGGAAAAGGCCGCTCAGCAGCTTCAAACCTTTGCTAAGCACAGTGCTTTGGAGAACATGTCTGGAGTCTGGAACAATCCAAAGCAATGGCATGGTCGCAGTCAATTGGTGGCGCAAACCTTATTTGTATATATGTCGCAAAGGCTTTGCCATGGCGTGGTCAAATCTTCACGTGTTCTCACCGTCGTTCAATCTATAAGCAATTAGGTAACTAGATGTAACTAGGTGCCTCTCTCGCCACTCCACAAAAGTAGTCGAATGACTGATGCCAAACGCAATCTGCATGTCTCTGTCTTGTCCGAGCAGCGGCTCTCCACTAAGAACACCAAATTTCATCATCTCGAGAGCTACAAGGCAGTGCTCCTTGCAAGAAACAAACACAGTTTTAAAAAGGATAAAACTAGAAGACAACAACTTTTTAAAGGCCTTATGAAAAGGACCCTAACGCCTTCTTTCTCCTTCTCCATGTCCGGGTCCAGTTGTATTCAGTGTTTCTTTCACACAACTTTGTCATGCTGCTCAACGCTAATTAATACAACCACTCTCCTGCAGCCGACGAGGCGAGTCTTTCAGAACATCTCCCAGTACCTAAGTCGGGAAGCAACATGGAAATGATTTCCATGTCAGCAAGGATAATGACTCAAGAGTGTATACTTTGTTCAACCCGCAATTCACCCAACTTTGGCTCCTGAAGCAAAGACAATTGGGTGTACAAATCGAAACAATTTATGGCATCAGAGTATTCTCAACAAGGTACCAATCCACCAACTCTCTTCTTCAGTAGAGGTCTCTTTGAACAACTTTACGCAACCACAAGGTCAGGTCGTGACATTTGGCTCTGACCAACAAGGTCGAGCAAGCAAAATATCTCCTGGAATCTTAGGTGGCCCAATGATCCTTATGAAGGCTGGACAGTGGCTGTGAGGCCACCATCATCTGCGATTAGTCCCAAGTGTTCCAAGAGCATGAAGTGGACAATGGCTGAGATCGCCTGTGCAGTGCAAGCACTCTTTTTTGACATAGCTTGACACAAGAACACAAACACACACACACACAAGGTGATGGACAAATGCACGGTGAGGTCGGAATGACTGCTGTTTTTTCTTGCGACCATGTAGCTTTCGTGTCGTTGCCCCTGCTCATCTCAGGGATCTGCTCGCACCGAGACATGTCGTGAATAAGGGGGCCATCCTGCAACACCTCATTGGCATGCCAAGCCTTAGATGCACATTTGATGGAATTACCATCAAAGATACCAAAGTGCAGAGTGGGGTCAGTAGCCAAGAGACGAGGCAGAACTTGAAATCGACCTGCAAACCAATTGAATGATTCGCCACAATATCCATTCGTAAGCTCAACAAACATGACAAACCAAATTTGACTGATGAACAGTGATGGAACGGTTTGTGGGCACTATGTAGGAAACAAGAGAGAGGGCTGTGAGAATCTTTGGAAGGTAAGGCCCCTTCCCAAGAATGTTGACCAATCAAGTCCTTGCTCCATTTGCTTCCCGCCTTCTTGAGGCCCTGTCTGTGCAATTCATTGGCAACGTTGGTAGCATTGATGTTCCATCGTATGACGTCCTGACAGGTCAGTGCGCTCCAATACCAATTAGGTTACAGCATGAATGAGAGGACTGGCCACTAAACCAACATTACGTGGTTTTTTCTCTGGTGAATCTGTTACCACACATCAACACCCACATCCTGCATCTTGTCTGGCTGCAAATAACGCCTTTGGACGCAAAGGCTGGCTGACAATACACAATGAGTCAGAAAAACCAAAGAAATACAACCCGCAAATTCGGGTTTGCAAGGTAGAAGAGCGAACCTAACATATTTATACAAGTGTTTCTGGTTTGCCTGGCCCTTCCAGCATCACAACTGCGGCGATTTTGCAGGTGCTCCCAAAATGCTTTGCAAAGAATACCTTGCAACTTGCAACGGAACGTGGTTTCATGACGGCTGACACAAATGCAGGTATGCTTCAAACTACATATCACTCATTCAAATGATCTTTTTCAGAGTGCTTCTTCTACCTCTGGTATCACACCGTGGCACTGTTGATTGCTCATGATTGCTGGTGGGTTTTGGTATGCTTTGTGTGCGGCAAGCACTTTCGCAAAACTATGGTTTGCATAGCGTTGTGACACGCTGTTTTCATAACATCATGAATCATAACCATTTTGCTTAAATTCTGGCTGCAGCTGAGTGCTTATTTTTTGCCAGGAAAATGGCCCTATGGCTGGTTATGCTGGTTTATGGCTGCTACGCGGCCGGCGCCTTGGACACCGCTGTGCAATGCATTGTAGGGCCGAGGAAAATCGAGGAAATATATGTCAAAAAAAGGATGTGTTTGAGTCTCTATAATAAGGCCCCCTTTGAGAGACCCGACTTTTAAACATTGCCAACCACCTGCCCAGTACTTCAAGTGTAGGAAGTGGTGCCTGTGTGCGCTTTGGAGCCTGGGTGCTGGTGCCACTGCAGGGCGCTGCCCGCAAATATCTTTTTCTACCTGGGGTCTATGCTGGCATTATCTCCTAGGTCCTAGACGAATGGCAAGTTGGAAAACAGGTAGTGTGGGATTGTATGCTGTATGCTCAAGGTACTGGCACTTTCCGATGTGGGCATGTTTACCGCCAAACCGTTATTCTTTCCCGTGGATAGCTGTAAAATGAATGACTCTCACTGTCTCCAGCCCATGTGAAGTTCGGACTCAGCGCAGTGAGTTTCCGAGACCTTGACCATGTACTGAGAAAAACACGGCACAACCAGCGCCACAGTAGCGCTCCTCCTCTAGAGCTTTGAACGCGCAAAGGTGTTTGATTTGAGCGAAAACATCCAGGACACAAATTGACCACACATGATTGCAGCTGTTGCTGCAAAACAGCTTGCAAAGCCAAGGGGCGTTTGGAACGGAAGTAGGAAGGCAAGTGTCGCGCGATGAGTCCTAGTGCCCTCTGCCGATACTCTGTGAGGTCCTGAGAAAACATGTCAAAATGTCTTGCTGTCCGTGGAGTGCTCAGTCCATTGCCCTTTGCTTGCCTACTCCCGTAAATGGTCTTCAAAAGGAATCGGTGCTTTTCGCAGGCTCCCACTATGGTGGAAGGGTGGGCTGGCGGAAGTAGGTGGAAGGGCTGATGAAAATAGCACTCCATGTACCCAAAGTTGACATGTCCACAATGTCCAAATATGCCGAAATGAACTAAACAGTTGCTCTACGCTTTGCGAGAAAGTACACGGAGCGTGACGTTCAACCAGTAGCACAGGTGTGTTTTCACACGTCTCCAAGGCTCAGAAAGCAGCTGGCGGTACTCCTGGGAAGCAAAATCACTTTTGGTTCAGAATGCACTACTAGTAGCGTCCTTGCTCCTAGTAGCGATGCCAGGAGCCCCTAGTAGCATTCTTGTTCCTAGTAGTAAGGCCAGGACTCCCTAGTAGCGCCTTTTTCTTCGGAGTACAAAGACTTCAAGCCGTTCAAAGACTTCTTCATCTACGCTTGCCAAAAGAGTGTCGCGCCTAGCCATTCCGTCTGTCACGGTCGCATGAGAAAAAGTATTGGTCTTATATTGATGGCAAATTGTCCTGACAATGGTTCTGCTTCTGCACCAGGACCTATATATTCCAACCAGCTGCAATTGTTCCAACTTTGATCACAAGCCGTACAACGACTCCCTTTCATGTTGTTCGGAGACAGGATATGTTTCAGCTATGGTTGTAACAAAGGGGCATCTCTTGCATTCTTGGTATTCAAACGGTGGACATGTGGAAGCTACTAGGGGCTCCTGGCCTTACTACTAGGAGCAAGGACGCTACTAGGGGCTCCTGCCATCGCTACTAGGAACAAGGACGCTACTTGGTTGAAGGGAACCCAGTCGTTCTGGGTGGATGGTCCGTGAAGGTTGGAAGAGATCGAAGATGGACGAGAGTGGCAAGTGTTTTTTCATGTGTTGTTCCTTACTTGGTTCCTCCGTTCAATTCTTTGTGAAGCATTTTACATTGCTAGGCTGCCGAACAAAACTTTGTTGTACTGGCATTCCCGACCTTGAAGAATCAGAATAATGTATGAGCAACACGAACATGCAAATTGTTCTTATTTATAGCTGGCAATGCCTAACCACGACCTCCACCTCACGTACTGCAGGTTCCCGACTGCTAGTATCAGTATGTACTGGTATGTGTTCTTTCTCTGGGGCTGCGAGCGGTTTGCTATTTTTCGTTTGTTTGCTCCTTTGGCGGAAGGGATGCTCAAAGGCCTGCCTGCATGCATGAGAACATTGGGAAACCATCCGAGACTGAGAAACACGGAACACCACCAAAAGCACTGGAATCGCAAAAAATGTGAGGACAGAAAAGGAGACGCAAACAGTGGTGGAAGGGGTGAATGTACCACATATTGGAGGTTCGCGAAGCGCCTCAAAGTTGTGCTCTGGACTGTTTGTTGGGTTTTCGTGCTCTGTTTGACAGAGACATTGGCAACACCTTTATATATGAGCTAAAAAGTATTCAGGATGCGACTGTTCAAACCTTTCTGACTTCTGACCAGCCTGAGCTAGCCGCTAGCCAAATATTCTACCTGCATAATTTCTCTTAATTGCCAAAGGGGGCGGCATGTCAAAGGACAAACATGTTTTCTTAAGACTGGACATCATACCATCCCAATGGGATCCTATTCTCCTTCGGCGGTGTTGCCTGCCATGTTTCGTTAATGCAGTTGACTCAGACTCCTTCTATTTTTGCTGTGGCCTTACTACGCAGTTGCTGGTACCAAGCAATATTAGGCAACTGTCTCCGGCACCCATTCCCCAACTGGGATTCGTCCCACGCTCGTCACTTTACCAGACTAGTGTGACTTAGTTTTGCTTGACTGCTCTCTTACTTAGATGCCCACCATCACACTCACAGACCAGCTCCAACTGTTCGTAACTCGGAACTGGTATGAACATCTATAGATTGGCTTTAGCTGACAGGCCCTCAGGCGCCCAACTGGCCAACCATTCAGAGGGGCGGCGAGTTTGTGCGCCTTACGAATTGGGGTACTTGGATGGTTCATTCGGAAAACTTTTTGGAGATGCCAATGAAGCAACTCATATGGGACGCAGAAACTATGGTGTTACGGGCCAATCAGGGTTTTGAGGGCTACGTTAGCCTGCGCTTGCTGAACCTCAGGCAAGGTTCTGAAAGGGGAGGTGGTTTGCATCCTGACATTGGGGAGCGGCATCAAAGGAATTGTCAAGGCTGCAGGAGGCTGGCGGAGAGGGATGGTCAGTTGCGCAGTTTCCTAAAAGTCTGGGAACCACATGAATAATGCCAGCGCTTCTTCAAGGAAGCTCCCCCCGCCCTCAGGAGCTTCCTTGAAGCTGCGTCCGTATGTAGTAGCTCACATGGCCAAGAGCTCACTCCCTTACTTAATTAAGTAGGCGCCTACTAAATTCAGCAAGGGCGGGCTAAAAGCAAGAACAAAGAGTACCAGTAAGTAATAGCAGCTACTGCTACCTCTTCTAGCGGCCTACTCCCCGCACGGCTTGAAAAAAGGAAATCATATAATCAAAAGGTTCAAACTATCGGGGCTGTGGACGGCTGGCGGAGGGGGATATCGTGTCGCGCAGTTCCATTTGGGATTGAGAATGCATCGAAGGAAATTTCGATCACAAGGAGTAGCTTCTTGTTACTAATAGCGATAGTCTCTTCTGCTACAACTGGTGGAACTGAAACGTCCCCAGGAGCACGGCTTTCGGATGCTGCTTCAACTAGATCAACCTGGTCCTGCGTATCCACCAAAGGTTGTGACTTGTCAAGCCATTCACCCTTTGCCAAAGCCTGGCAGAGTGAGGATCACATCTTAGCGCACAAGGGTGACTTGAGGCTTCACCAACACGCTCAGCACTGCTTGTAGACTTCAACCACGGAGTTGCAAGCCTGAGGAAGCTTTGCTGAAAGCATGCCGCTCACAATGAGAAAGTACCTTGGAGCGTTTGGCTAGAACCGGTGTGAGGACGAGAAAAAGCTTCTCACACAAGGGCAGCCCAGTTTATCTGGTGATGTTTTATGGTGTTGGCATATCACCCAAATCGCAAGTACCATAGCTGTGCCAATTGTTTCGGCGAATATCGGCCAATGCCATCATGTTTCCAGGTATATAGCCATGACCTGCTTCACAAATAAAGCAATTGTGTTTGGTCGAAGGCCGAAGACTTGCTCGCTGGGAATTGACTTTCGCAGTCATTGCTACGTAGAAAAAGGTGGAACCACTTTCGGTCATACGCGATGATGTACTGGGACCTGGGGCCAACATGATATAACATGATATTGTTTGTCATCGGGTTTTACTACACACACCATGACACTCGTTGTGTGGTCACAAGAGGCATGGAGGGGGCGGTCAAGAGTTTTGAGCTCCCATGTGATTGCTTCGGAGATCATGTATATATATATATATATTACAATATCTATATGATCATCACCAGAGGCTTCGATTGGGGTGTGGGGGTTGGGAAACTGTCCATGTTCAAGGTTGGCAAAGCGCGCAAATAAGTCGTGCTGCGTTCTGCTCATACTGTACACATGGTGACTAGTGACTAAACCAAAGTGTTGTTGTCAACAAAGTAAGCCGCTCACTCAGATGTTCTTTTCAATGTAGTAGGTTCGACAGGTATGTTGATCACATTGGACCAGGTTTCCTTTGAGCTAGATAGCAGATTTCTGCATGCAGCTACGTGCCCGATTTTGCTTGGCCGGTTCTGTCAGTTGTTGCTGTGACTTCTGCTCTAAAGAGCACCCTCTGTGACTCTGCCAGCGATAAGAAACATTTAGGTTGTGTCCTCTTTTTCACAAGAGTCCTTCGGTCTGAGCAAAGATCAAAATTGGTGCCACAACAACGTGTTAATGCCAAAATTGCTCCTTGATGGGACCAGCCCTTCACCTCCCTTCTGTTCTTTATTACTGCATATTATGAGGATGTTTCTCAAGGTAATGCTGCATGCACTTTTCTACCGTTGTTCTACAGCTATTTGGACACTGCCATAGTTTTTTTGGCCAGGACTTGCCTGAGGGAACCTACACTTAACTCTGGACCCATGACCCATCATCATAGTGAAAAACACTACCAAGAATGAACAGAAGGGAGGTGAAGGGAGGGAGGATGATGTGACGTCAAGGATACCACCGTCGTGTGCCAGTAGTGTGGTGTGGTCTTTGCCAGCAATTTCTACCTTTACAAGCATTAGAATTAAACGAAAATAGATATTAATTAATAGCTTCTTGTTACTACTAGTAAGGCACTTGTTCCTAGTAGCACTTGTTACTAGTAGCTTAATGTCTGGGCCAACATGTTTATTCGAGAATTTGATACGCAGTTTTCGGTAAGAGGGAGCCTTGTGGCAAACGATCACTGCGTGCTTCCAAAATGCACAAGGGCCCTGGGCATGGTTGGCTTGGAGATATAGTTGTCCCGCTTCCAAGAAACAAGCGTTGATGGTGCGTGTTTCAAAGACGGTCCAGTCTATTAGCAATGTTGCAGCACGCCTCTACACGCACCCTGTTCGGACCCCTGGGTATGTCTGGGTTGTTTTCGCCGCACTGGGTGAAGTCCGGACGATTCACAATGTGCCTCACACTTGGCTAAAGAAAAAGTACGAGACACAATAGGTATCGAAGGATATTGATAGATACTGAATTGTTTCTGAGACGTTCGTTCTTTCATTCATGATCTTTCTTTCTTCCAATTATATTCCTTTCTTTTGTTGTAAAGAACATGTGAGAATAACGGGGCCTGATTATTGACAAGTCACAAACTGCTTGGCAGTAGCGCTCCCAGAACTGCAGGATAATCACTTGGGACAGGCCCGGAAGAGGAGAAGGGCCTCACCTGAGCCAACAAACATTTGTTTGTCATTTGTCTAGCACAACTAGAGGTAACTCTTCTCCAATCTGCCACCCAAACTTCCCATGTAGAAAACAAAGTGCAGAGTGGAAGATGTGAAGCATGCTGCAAAATTGACCGAAGTGGCAGCATTCGCCTTTACATGATAGACTGGCGAGCTCTGGATTAGCAATTTGCCTCAGTGCTGTGTAGGCCGACAAGTGCAACATAGAACAGTTGGCAGTTGACACTATTAAGCTGCCCAAGCTGGGAGTGTCCCTTGCCTTTCTCTAAGATTCTTCCAAGCTACAAACACAGTAGCCCTCGACGTGGTCAGCCTGTGTGTTACCATCAGCACTTTCAAGTTTAACTTTGTGGCACCCCGTTGAAAGGCATCTCAAAGCTGTAAAACAATTCAAATGTCTAGCCAATATGTGTATAGAAACACGTAAACTATCAGGAGAGACAACTGGCACCTTCATGTCCTCTGTGGGGAACGTGTGCATCCACTGGAGAAGCCTCACTCACCAACTGCGTGATGAAGCACTGGAAAACACAGCCGTAGCATGCCGTAGCAGTAGCAGGTCATACATTTTGCGGCTTTCCTAATGGCACAGTGTGACCCAACCCAAGAGTTTAAATCAATGTAAGTAACAAAGAACACCAACAGCAAGAAGGAGAATAGACAAGTCTAACAGTCTAACAAAGAAAAAGTACGGGCGAGGAGGGAGGAAGGGGAGGGAGGGAGGCGGAGGGAGGTGGAGAGAGACAGACAGACAAACAGACGGACGGACGGACAAACAGACAGAATCGTGCCAATCACTGGATACTTCAATTATATACAGTTCACCAGATTGTCGACGAGACACGGAGCTTGCTTTGCCACATTCACTGCCTCGGCTGCGAAACAAAGAATTCAAGTTGCTTGGTGCTTAAAAGCATTGGTCAAACAACATTTATGAGAGACAGCTTTTAGGTCGGAGGGCATCGCTATTGTGTATGAGACAATTCATGAACAGCCCTTTCTCCAAGCGGTCCAAGCGTTTGGTGTCGCACCTCTTGGCCCGTGTAGTTTTGATTTATTTACATGATATAAGAAAGGATAAACAAAAACGGTCTTTGGGCTCCTTGAAAAAGGACCCCTTCAAAGGGGCTTCTTTGTACTTCTACTAAACGTGATTGGGCCATTAGGCAAAGTGCTCCAGCGGAAAGTCCAAGTCTAACTGTTTTGAGAGTCACTTCCAAGCAGCAATCCAAAGAGCGAAACATGCAAGCTTGCGCAAGCTTGTGAAGGTCGACACAACCCTTCTGCCACTGCAGCAGAATGATGCCAAGCGGCGACATCGAAATTGAAGCGCATGACCTGTCTTTAGCTTTGGCATATGCAAGTCGTCAGGGAGGTAAGGTGGAATTTTTGTCGTGGAGGTTCTGGTCTCAGTTCCGATTATTTTGCAGTGCATAGTACTTAGATGTACTTAGTACTATATATATATAATGTATTGCTTGTTTGTCTGTTCCTGTCCAGAGCTATAGCAGCTATAGCATGTTAGAGCGAGAGTACTGTTCTCGCAAGTAAAAACAACACGGCTAGCGGCTAGACATTTGTTCACAGCAATTTGTGACGGCTTGAGGTATTTTCTTCCAGACGCTACTAGTAGCTTCTTGTTACTAGTAGCAAGGTGCGTCGCTAGTAGTAATGCACTTGTTACTAGTAGCTTCTTGCGCCGGCTTGAGGTTTTTCCTTGGTTGGTCAGGTGGCCTGATCCACTTGCAAGTACGGGAACGTGAGGCAATACTCAGTTCCTGCCAACATGCAGGCATCTACGAACTGCTCGCGCGTCATGTTCCTCGGAAACAAAGCATGGACCAACACCTTGCACTCCAAAATACATAGAGAACACCCCATTGTAAAGACACACGAAAAGCAAATCGACCACTGCAAGAGTTGGCTGGCTGCAAACCAAAGATCCATTTGTCCAGGATACGCTCCAGGTCGATCCAGTCGAAAACAACATTCTGAAAGTCAATATTGATAATCTTGGCCCAAGCGGACGAGCAATCTATATATATAGTATATTATGTATATAAATATGGACCTCCCCTGTATATATATATATATACTGTATAAATTTCATCTTTCCAAACTTGCATTTGCACACATTACAAAATTCAGGTTGGTGTCGTTGTGAAGACGCATCCAAAGCAAGTTCTCTCATATGAAGAAAATCAACAAAGTTGCAAAACAATGTAAACCACATCATGAAAATTGCATTGCCCTTTTTGACGGTTCCATCCACATCAAGGTCACAACTCAGCGTATTTTCAGGTTTTCAATCCTTAAGACAACGTGTGACATTGCATTAGCCAATACCCCTTCAGTCAAACATCCGGCACCAACATGTCCCAAGGCACAGCTTTGCTGAGGCCAAACAGCCTCAGGCAAACACGAGTAAGGGGGAGATAGCAAATACCATGCTTTGAGTTAGTGCATGTCTTGGAAAAGCTAGCATGCATATCCTATGTGTGGCGAAGCGACTCAGCACTGTTCACTGTGGTTGTACGCAGGTTGTGTCTGTGGCATCTGCACCTACATGATCCCATATGTACTGGGAGGAAACGGCAAGCATGACACCTATGTCTGAGCACCATGGCATGCCTAAGTGCAAAGAAAATGAACACAACAACACATGAGAGCTCGCTGACAATGGTAGGTTGTTGACAATTTCCCTGGGATTTGGGAGAAAAGGCCTTAACCCTTGTGTGGTAACAAGGTATGTTGCTGTCACAAAGTGGTCCGGCTGAGATGTCTATCTCAGTGTCGCCTGCTTTGCTGATGACGGTGGATAGTTAAACTACTTCCCTTGACTTGGCAGTCGGTCCTTTATGTCATCTGTTGCATTTGCTGCGGCTTGTGCCCTCAGAGTCTGCCCAGCAAATGAGAGGTGGCAATCAATGATAGGTAATTAGAGGATCAAACACATGCAAATAATGAAAACAGAAACAATGAATGCCTGCAAATGGAAAAACATACACATATAGAAAGAGATAGAGACAAGGACAGGGAACGGGGGAAGAGACAGGGGAGAGAGAGAGAGAGAGAGAGAAAAAAAACAGAGAAAGAGAGGGAGAGAGAGAGAGAGAGAGAAAAAGAGAGAAAGAGAGACACAAAGAGAGAGAGAGAGAGAGGGAGGGAAAGGAGAGGTAGAAGAATGATGGTGACTCCGGAGTTGCTGTATATACTCTTTTCGCACCCTTGTGTCTCACTCTCCCGCGTGATGCAATGTCATCCTCTCCACTTTCCCAGATCTTTGCGGCAAGACAGAAAGCCTGTATTTTTTCTCCAAAAGGCAGCAGTCCAGGCGGGCCAAAAACAGCTTGAACCACACCTCCTTCTGCGAAATGCACCAATTGCGTTCCTGCACAGTTGGCTCAGCGGCCAAGTTTGAATCGACAAAAGGAACTGAGGCAAACAGCAGGATTCGCGGTCACTCTCGAGTCAAAAAAAGAAAATACAGCAAACTAATGACACATGTGGTAATGACATAAGCTATCATAGTTCTGCTGCCCAGCGCATTCCGGGGCAATCTCTGACCATGATCCGCAGTCTAGGTTGTGTTTTCATGATGCACGCATAATTTGTGCAATTTGCTTCCCCCACAAGCAACAAACATGCCATCTTGACTATAGCAAAAATTGAATGTGTATATATATATATAGCACTTTATAGCAATATCATACATTATCCAGCCTTGCGTTTGTGCCTTGTTCCAACATCTTGCGTAGGAAATTAGGAAAAGCTCTGCTTTCGAAAGGTGTGAATCAATCAGCAGGCCACTGGCTCATGCCATGACGCGCCTGCAAAATACGGGGCTTGCAAAACTTCGCAGCCACGGTACCGCATGTGCTGAAAAATGAAGTAAACGAAATCACCTTGGACCCAAGCTGGCGAGTTCATGAGCAAAACAAAAAAGCAAAAGCGCCCAGCGTTCGTGGCTCGCCTGAAAAGGAGTTACGCAGTATGAAACACTCATACACCTGCCCGAGACCTATGCGTGCTGAGACTTGCAGGCCGCTGCGACCCTGATTCAAGACAAGCCACCATTGATCCGACTGGTGGAGACTGCAAAGAATTTCTGCGCCTGGAGCAAATGGAATATTGAATAATGGAAATATATAACATAAACGTGATGCCTTTACCAAAACCAAAACACGTCCCTTTGTCTTACAATACTGTATCAAATGTCAAACATGCACTTTGTTAACCTGGTCACATTTTCCCTTCTCTGGCCTCACTGTTGTGACCACTTGCCAAAAGTGCCCACGCATCCATCATTTGCTGATCCATACCTCAGTCAAAACAAACGTCGCCAACACTTTGACAAACCCGTTCAAACTTCACATATCTTCAAGCATTGCAACAACATGGCATGGGGAACCCTGCATGCAAAAGCGGGCAATGGAACTTAAATGCTTTGGCCGGGGCCGTCTACATCACGTCTACTCTCACTCTGCCAGGACTGCTACAGTAGACATTCTATGCTCGCGGCCTTTTCTGCCACTTAGGTTTCTTCAAAGTACAGAACCCGTGACCGTCCAAAGCAAGGCAGGCCAAGAACTGCAGTGTCGATTGTCGATGTACCTGCTCATATTGCCACTTTATATAGTTTCCCATAGTTTCCCAAAAAAATCTAGGAACCACATCATTAGTGCGAGCGCTTCTTCAAGGAAGCGTGAGCTATCCTTCCTCCATATGTATAGTAGCGTCCTAGTAGCAATGCAAGGAGCGAACAAGTTTGCCCGGCTTAAAAAGACTCCACCTTATTCTCCAAGGCTCGGTTCACAAACATGGAATGCTTTGGCCCAGGTGTCATACCTTGAAAAATGAAGACTGGTGTGATTTGCAGCCGTCTGAAACCTTCCAGCTCCTGAAGGTTGGCGGGAGTCCCTTCTTGCACAAACTGCGGCAACCTGATAAACTGCTGTGAAATTCGGCTAAAACCACACATCTTCTACAATGGCTGGGTGTTAGACGTTTCACGGGTACAAATTGAATAATTGTCCGCCACTTCCAGAAAGATTCAGGTTTGCATTGTTTTTCACCATGAATGAACAATTGCAGTCCTTATCCACTACGCCAAAGATGCCAGGCGGAACTCCTCCCAAAGCATCTGCAAATGGATCTTTCAGAGCCTGCCATTCTGCAAAAAAGGTCTGTGCGCACGCAGAAGCCGCACACCATGAACCTTTTTCCGCCCGAACCCACGAAGATGCCCAGGCAGGTGGTTCGAGTGTGTCACGGAGTTGAAGGACGCTCCGAATGGGACCCGAATGAAAACATGACGGACACCTGGTGAAGACAACACGTGTTGGATTTCGCTTAACATTCAATGCAGCAAAAGATAGCAAAAGTATATCTGCATCTGGTGCCCATGTCCAATGAAATCCTCTTGGCAAGTCACCCACTCCGAAACACTCGCCTGAATTGATCGGAGCCAGTGCACAGCATCGATGCCCAAGCGTTGCCCTTGCAGGGCCTGCGTCAAAGCATGCACTACGAGAAAACACCAAGTAAAGATGAATGAACATGAGGTCAGAAACGGAGTTTGCCGCCACATTCATGAATTCAAAAACATGACAATCCCCCTGGCCTCGAGCTTGCCCTGGTAGATGAGTTTTTCATCCTCAGGATATGCAGGCTCTATGTTTTCCAAAATACAGCTGGGGCCATCCTCTCTGCCTCCTCCTGTGCAGTTCTTCTGCCTGCACCTGCCTGCCGCCTTTTACTGGTATGCGTCACGCCGCACGCCTTCGATTTGAGTCGTTGCTCCCATAGAGTCAAGGTCCTAAAGTCTGCATCAAGCATTGCACTTGTACAATGTTCTAACCATCTGTGGTTCTTGTTACGACCTTCGAGACTTTTGTACAACACCACTTGCTATGGGTGAAATCGATGCTTGCAATCCGGTGGAAGCCGAAAGGCGCACAGGAAGAACCAACGCCAAAAGAAACCTCCACTTCGCTGACAAAAAAACGTACAGTGTCGCTTAACAAGGAGAACGCGCCGTGGCTCCAAACTTGGAAAGTCAGCGGGGAAGCTTCGTGGGGGAGCACTGCAAAAGCCAACCTCCCAAGCATTGGACATGATGAGAGCTAACTTGAGAAGCGGGAGTTCTTGGGCCCTTTAGAAACCTGAAAGCAATCTGAAAGCACTGAGGCTTACGGAGGGAACATCTATTCTTTTTCAAGGTCAAAGTTGCCAGAATAAGGACAAACTGACCGAAAGGCCTGTGAAAGGGTCCGTGAATGCAAGCCCTTCCAGGTGTGCAAAATCAAGAGTGGCAACACTTGAAAAAGGGTCAAGTCCTTCATCCGGAGGGTCATATTTACTAGCTTCTTTCTACCAGTAGTAATGGGTGAGGGATCAAAAAAAGAAACATCAACATCACACAAATTTACTCAAAAGGGATCAAAAAGAAAAAGAACAGTATCAACAAATATTCACAGCGAAGAACAAGAGAATGGGGTAAGGACAGTAGTAGTAGTAGTAGTAGTAGTAGTAGTAGTAGTAGTAGTAGTAGTATTGACAATAGTAGGAGTAGGAGTAGGAGTAGTAGTAGTAGAAGAAATAGTAGTAGCAGTAGTAGTAGAATAGAAGAAGTAGTCTGTAGTAGAAGTGGTAGTAGAAAAAGTAGTAGAAGTAATAGGGGCAGTAGTAGAAGTAGTGGGAGTAGTAGGGGTAGGCACAGCGCTTCCTACTAAGCGAAAGTTTCTGCCTGTCACGCTAGGCGAAGGTGGGCCTTATCATCCACCTTTGTGGCAGCGTCAACGCAAAGAAGATGGTAGTTGTGGTAACTGTGGTAAGACTCGTAGTGGGGTGGTCGGAGTGATAGAGGTACTGGCAATAGTATTGATAGTGGACGGTAATGGGAATTATTAAAGAAAGCGGGAGGGGGTGCGAGGAATGTCGCATCGCCTCCCCCGCAATGCAAATCAAGTATAGACAGCGCTATCCACCCTTACGTCCCCTGGTCCTTAGGGCCCCTGGTCCTTTGGTCCGCTGGTCCTTTGGTCCTTCTGGTTCCCTGGTCCTTCGGTCTCCTGGTCTCTTGCTCCTTCGGTCTCTGTCCAGTGGGCACCTAGACCAAGTCCCTTGGTCTCCTAGTCCGCTGGTCTTATGGTCCTTCAGTCTTGATAACTATCTCCCTAGTAGTAGATGCTAGCTCGCTGGTCAGGGTTATTTTATTTGATACGGTTCTTTTTAATGATCATGTTATTTTTTCTTGTTGCTCCTGTTCTTATATATATTTTTTGATCCTGATGCCAGTAGTAATGGTCTTGTTACTAGTGGCGATGCCCTTGTTACTAGTAGCTTCTTGTTCCTAGTAGTAAGGCCAGGAGCCCCTAGTAGCTTCTTGTTACAGTAGCGATGCCCTTGTGACTAGCTAAGTGCTGTCCAAGACGCATGAAGATGGGACTGTAGGTGCCGAACTCGCATTGTGGGGCCCGTAGAATCGCTGCACTACATGGCGAGTCATCACCGGAAATCTGCGCGGGCTTTGGCACAATTCGGCGCGAATGCGGACTGGCATTAAGCCGCCTCTGGCGGTATTTATATTTAATACATAAATGATTTTCCTTTTTTCATATCCTCATATTGACTCATATTGCAATGGAAAGTATCTTGTGTGGCCAAAACTTTGGTTTGTGGGGACAGCATTGCACTTGGAGTCCAGGATCCAGTTTGCAAGAGCAGCACATACACTGACATAGACACACTGTGTGTGATGCTTGAACCCAAAAACAACAACCAACTTCGTCAACATCATCCCAAGGTTCTGAGCACCCCATTTGGTAGTAGTGGCAATGGCTTCAATGGTCACGAAGGACATCAACATCTGCAGTGGAACGTCCCACTTGCTGCTTTTCCCGCTTGAACTACAAAAAGGTCTTTGAAGAAATCGAATAGGGCAAGATACTATGCGGCGCAAGATTAACAAGGTCAAATGGGCCAAGAGTGAGGCCACCTCGCCCATTTGTGGAAACACGTTTCAAACAATGAGATCTCTAAGGGCTGCGGCTACTTCTCTCAGGCTGTGCTTGACAAATGAAGCCTGAGGTTTTACGGTTACGACAAACGCAAAGAATAATGCCTAGGCCTAAAGGTGGAGTCTTTCAGGCGTGCTTGTTCCTAGCAGTAAGGCCAGGAGCGCCCCTAGTAGCGTCCGATCGCTCCGATCGTAGCGATGCACCTTGTTACTAGGTAACGACACCTGCTAGTGGGCCTTTCCAGCGCAACATGCAATACAGCCCTGGTTCTGTGAAGCGTGCATTCTCGAGACTAAAGGATTGTGGGTAGGATCAGTTGCTGCTTGAAACTGGTTTCATTGAGGCTTGAGAAAACTTTACAGCGCCAGCTGCAGTTTGAAAGTGCCTTCTGCGGTGGACTACACCTCACAAACCAGCAGTATGGTATATCAATCAATGGATAGAATTGCTGCAATGATCAATCTCATGGTGGCACATGCCAAACACCTTTTTGAGTTTGCAAGCATGTGCTTCGGGCCAGCTCGTCTTACGACTTGGAAAATCACAATGACCATTGGGCTCCTCTGGCCCAACAGTGGTCGCCAAGACTAGCCTGCTGCACCTTCATCCTCGGCCTTCACCTGCAGACACACACACAAAGCAACACATTCTGTCGACTGGGCGAAGTGCTGTACAATGATGTATAATGTATATATTTTTTTTGTCCGGCTCTTTTGCAGCATGAACGAGTCGTGTTGGGCTCATGCCAACAACTTGCGAATGTCCTGTGACGATGTGGTGGAGCACCGTCGCCGAAGCTTCTCCGTAAGCAAGACCTGGTCGGCCTGGATCCTCGATCTCCCGTGGCACTTCAGGCACTCCACCGCATTGCCTGGTCTCATCATCTGGTGTGTTGGATGCCCCTGCCAGAGGTCACTCGTCAAAGGACCGTGGTGGCAAACTTCACCGAGGAAACGATTGAAGATGTCCTCTCCTGCTCTGGCAAGCACGTAGCTTCGGCAGCGGGAGCAGCGTAAATACGCTTTCTCCAAGCGCAGTTGGTGAGTGCCTGGCGGAGCCTCCCCTTGACTCTCCAGCAGATCATGGATGACCTCAAAACGGGTCTTCTTCTGCGTCGGAGTTGGTGCTGCCTGTGCACAAGGTGAAGTGAGGCCTTCACGAAGCTCCTTGATCAGCGATTTGGTGTGGAACCTCACTCGGCATTGGGCACACTGGACTCCAGATCTAAAGAGGTTGCAGAGGTGGCCATTTGCCTGCGGGTCTTTCACGTAGCAGGCTAGTAGGTCCTTTTTCTGCTGGACCAGAGGGACTTTGGAGTTGTCCACCACAGTGGTCTTGCTGTGCAAAAAGTGCTCTTTGCAGGTGAGGAGGATGTTCATTCTATTGCCCGCAACACTGAGAACATCTCGTGTGTCTTCATCAATGTGCTTCTGAAGATCTATGATGTCCTCCGGCCGGGCCAAGAGGGCAGTCTGAGTGGCCTTGGCCTGTGCATCACGCTGAAAGGCCTTCCTGTTGAGGTTGGAGTCCATCTCATGTCGACTGAAAAGGAGCAGACGCACCTGATCAAAGTCCTCACGCTCCAGACCCATACTGAGGTCAGGGAATTGCTCATGGGCTGCCATGAAGGACCAGTTCTTCCAGATGTTGTGCTGGAAGACCACCACGTGAACTTTGTCTCTGATGTGGAGTGAGAGGTGTTTCAAGCCATAGAACAAGGCCCGCAAGCGCGTTGCCTTTCCTGGGCAAATGCCCGTGAGGGATCCCACCCTTTCTCTGGTGAAGACCTGGTGGGTGCAGATGGCAAAGACATAGCGCCGGTGACGTGGATCCTTGGAGGTGGGAGCCACAGCCAGGGACACAGCGTGTCCGGCTGGCAGGTTGCAGGCTTCCAAATCTGCCCAAAGCCCTTCTCCATTGAAAGTGGCCATGCCGCCATCAGGGATGCCATTGGTCAGGAAGGGGTTGGACACGACCTTCCCAAAAGCTGCACTCCCACAAAAGGTGTGTGAAGGTCAACTCAACTCCACAAAGAGGACACTTCCCTGTCTGCCCGTGGAGAGTGCCCTTTCTCACTGGTCATCTTTTGGAGAGTTTTGCTGACAGTCCAGTCTAACTTCCTTTCCAACTCGTGGCAGCCCTCGTACCTGGTCAGGCGCAACAGTCGTTGCCCCTGGAATTCTTCAGTCAACTTGTGCTGGATCTCAGGCCAAAGCGCCTCTAGGCTGATGGAGCAGTCAGGAATTCCTCCATAACCTGTTCTTTTCCAAAGCTCGCCGTTGGAGATGTCGAAGTCATAATCCAGCAAGTAAGCTTGGAGCGCTTGGAGAGGGCCTGTTACGACCTGCCAGCGGTGCTTGGCCTTGAGAAGGAGATCCAAGGCTGAGTTCCAACTGACCCAGAAGAGGTTCTGTGCACTGGAGTCGAAGGAGTGCAGGACTTTCCAGACCGTGTGGATGTGTTGGAGGATGATCGAATCACCAGGATCGCACTTTTCCGGATGCATGTCGAAAACGACATCCACAGAACCAGAACATTGGAGTCCAAGTCCCCGTCCGGCCAGAACACGAAGTTGTTGCCGTCGTTGTGGAGCTAGCCCATTTGCTTGAGCCCCCCACGACATCACGGGGTGGATCGCTCCTCGATGCAACCGGTACTTGGTGGCGTTGCCAAGCTTGAGTCGGAGCATGATCCCAACTCTGCCCCTGCCCTTCAAGAACCTCTTTTTGATCTGAGTGATCCTCCGGCGCCGAGAGTTGGTGGCGTCAATGCCGAGGTCTCTGAGGATGTTGTGATGTTTGGGGTCATCATCACAGAGCTGAACATCTAGGGCCTTGGCGGACTCCTTGCTGCTGGTGATGAAGCCGGTCTTTTCCGTGTTGAGCTTCAAACCCTCTGTGGCGAGGTTGGATTGCAACGCCCTGAAAGCCAAGACCGCCTCTCTGGCCACGTACTCAGGGTCCGTCCCTTTGATGTCGAAAGAGACGTCGTCAACCCAGGTCTGCAAAAGGACCGCCGGGTGGTCACGGACCAGAGCTTGAAGTGGTTGATAAAGCACCAACTTAGCAATTGCTGGAGCTTGAGGGCAGCCCTGAAGGATGCCTTTCTGGTAGTACTTTGGGCTCCCAGCAATACCCTCAGCTTGGATCATCCTGGGCCCCGAGTACAGATCCAGTGCCAGCTTGAGATGCAGTGGAGGGTAGTTGAGATCCATGGCGGGCTCAATGAGATGGTCCAGTTGCACCGTGTCATAGAAACAGGTGTGGATACCTTGATGCTTGCCAATCTCCGCTTTGAGCATGCGGCCGACCGCTATTGAGAGACAATCCTTGTGAGGGCGAGCATGATCCCAAGGCATATCCTTGTCAAGACCCAACTGCCACTTGTGGAGGTCATGCTTACGATAGCTGTTCCACAGCCTGTAGAGGCATGAGGTGAGTGCAATTGGCCGCTCAATGCGTTCACTCTTCGGGATCATCACGATGTTGGTATGCCTCATTTGTAGAGGGAGGTCAGCTTCCTTCTCCATCTCAGTGAGAAGTTGGGACAGTTTCTCCACAGCTGGGTACGGAAGGTGCCGCAGAAAATCATCGGAGATGCCATCTGGGCCAGCAACCTTGTTGGGGAGCCGTCGCGTGATCTTCTGAAGGAGGCTGGCTGGAGTCGATCGGCTTGAGCTGCAGGGCATGAGCCTGGGCCACCCGCTTCAACTCTTGGAGACCTCGAATTTGCAAAGGTGCTTCAAGGGGAATCCATATAGCTCCCCACTGCTGTTCTCTGGCCTGAGTGCGAGATGTAGGAGGAAGATCCTGAAAAGGCCTTTGCCAGGCGTGATCTTTCTGCCTGAGACTGCGGAAAAGACCTCGAAGGCCTTCGTCATGGGCCTTTTCCAACCATTCCCTGAATTCATGGTTGGTGGCACTGAGAAGCTGCTCTTGAGCAAGCTGCTGCTCTTGTTGAGCAATCTGAAGGAGCTCTTCCGAGGAGATGTTGCCACCAAAGACCCATTGCAGTAGATGTTCTTCGAAGCTGAGTTGATCAAGCTCCTTGGAGGCATGTTGCGGGATCCTCGTAGCCATGTCCTTCAGGTCCTGGAGGAGCCCCGGGTATCGGCCATGAGTGGCAAGGTTGATCTTGATGCCTAGCTTCTCCCAAAAGGCAGCACTGCCTTTCTTCCACACCCGAGGTTTGGTGGAACTGGCCAAGGGAGCTTGAAACAGGTGCACTTGTGATCCTCGTCCTGTGACTGGTTGGTGTAGATGCTGGGTGAGGTACTTCTCTGTCTGTGTGGCCCATCTCGCCAAGACCAGTGATGTTCTGGCCCAGGATGTGAAAAGGCCCATCATCCTCAGTGAAACTGGTCCAGAGATTCTTGGGGTGGTAGTTGCGCGTGACCGGAGGAAACCTCTGAAGTTGCTGAACAGGAAGTGCAGCTTGTGAACAGTCAAACTGTAGAGCCAGGGCGCAATGCGGTTTCCACGGAACTTCCCAGTTTGCTTCAAGGCGCAAGGCTGAGGCAATGGAG